TACCCAAAACCATATGCCATCTACTTAAGGCGTCTGTATCAGCACCAAGAAACAGTAGCAATATCACCTCGTCAGTCAGGCGTTGATGGTAAGCTCATTATTATCACCTATGGGGCTTACTGTGTGGGAGCTGCTCTCTGGGTTTAGGGTTTAGGGTTACAAGTAGTGTAGGGAGTATGGCGCCCAATACGAACTGTTTGAAAACCCAGTCCGTAATGCATGCTTACGCGTGGTAGCCTTCGCGATAATAAATATGGCGTACTCCCATACAAAGATGTATACACACATGCTGCACTATGTGAGCTATAATCGAAACTCTTAATATCCCCTTGAGTAACCCCTGTACTGCGGCAGGACGAAAGTTCATCGCACTTGCGCATCCCTGCATAAGTTCTGCACGAATCCTGCGCAGACCCTCTTCCCCCGTAGACTCCTCCACCGAGTCCTCCGTCTGGAACAATTAACGTAATTAAAATTTATTCCAGGGGAGTACTTCCTCCGCTAGCCAGGCCAGCGAAAATGCACTTTCGTTTACTCCGCGTCCTCCGCAACTTGAAAGTAAGCAAATGCGACAAAACTTTATTCCTGGTGATGTAGTCCCATATATAATCCCCAGTACATAATCCCCTATATACACCCCTTTCAGGAGTTTTAAATATAGCTCACATGGGCGGGATGAGAGTCTAGGACTCCATGAGGGATCGGGGCTTGCAGCGTAAAACATACTTGTGGGCTTCAGCGTCTTCTTCCAAAATTACGTACAAGGGGCCAGCGGGCATGAATATGACAATAACACGTTTCTTTGTGGTTCTTGCTAGGGGAATATTATGCTCATATTGCCCCATATACTCGATACCCTGATTCCCGACTAAAAACCAATAAGGTTCGTACATCTCAATCTGCCCTGGAGCCTTCCCACGCATGAAGTTCAGCTGTTCGTTGATGGTGTATGATGCAGCCAAGGCAAGAATGATTAACGGGCACACTCAGACATAATACTTAAGCAAGAACACAAAAGGAACAGCAACAACAACAACAACAACAGCAGCAGCAGCAGCAGCAGCACAGCAATGACAATAATTACTGTGACTGGACTGGCAGGCAATCGCAGTGGCAGCAAATCCTGGAACCCTAAATTGAGAAAAACAACAAACACAGCGGATAATGCCTTTGCGGTTGCTGAGCCTGGATAAACCTTGGCATATCTTTTCTCTTCCTACGACCTTTGCTCTTATTGTACAATTCCCACGAGTGCTGTCTTTTCGACTTCCCACTTACTATGGTAGACCTCATGTGTGCGAAGCTGAGTCGCGTAGCTCTTGCCGTCATCGCCATCTTCATCAGGGTTGCACATGGCATGCAGTCACACAGCGACGCCTTGGAACTGGATCCGCTGTGACATACCTCTGATTAAAGGACACATTCAAAGCAATGGGATGCTTGATAGAGGTGTTTCTGGGACCTGCAGACACACATGCGATGCTGATGCAAATGCAGCAGACATCCTGCCTTGCTTTCCTAGTATTGTGTTCCTGTTGGTTCTGGTGTTCCCCAACTGCGGCTATGCGGTACAGAACAATCCACTGAAGCACTGCCGGGAATGCAGACCTGTACGTCAGCTTGCGGATTCAATGCAAGGCACCTTAACAGTGCAAGGCAGGCCTTACAAACATCTACTATGTGCTTGCTCTTCGTCCTTAGTGGAGACATCGAACGAACGTAGGAGAGGCGTGGTAGCACGCGAACAACAAGTTCAAGCCTGCAAAAGGCATGTTTTTCCTGCGCTTCAGCGCTAAATGCACTGTTCAGACTCCGGTTCAACCCTCGCAAGGCAACGATCTGACCGTGAGCACATCCACCTTATACAGGTCTTGTCAACTGTTACGCTTAGGCCGCGATCGGTTAGTGGTTAGTGCTTTCGAATACATGTGCTAGCCTCGCTAGTAGCGGAAGGCTGTTCCAAAAAGACTGCTTGAGAGCTGCACATAACAACGACCCTGTAACTAACTCTCAACTTGCCGCGTTAACTGGTTTCATCTGAAATATGCCAAAAATTGCCAAAACAGCCAATATGTTTTCTTGTTAGGCTTTGATTAGAGTTGCGGCTAACAGCCGCCTAGTCATCTAGCCCCGCATTGAAAGCATAAGCCGTAACCCCAGACCAAGACCCTAAAACCTAAACCCTAAAACCCAAACCTAAACTGAGCTTCAAAATCTAGTGCTACGGACGAATTGAACAGCACAGCAAAACGTGCGACCTCAGGAGGGGCCAAGCAGAGTCTGAAACGTCAAGGGCGGCCCAAGGGCATGGGTGCAGTGCTTGACTAAAGGGTTAAAGGTCTGGTGCTGACAAAGCCAAGGGCCTCATTTGAAAGTCTAGAACTCCATGGTCGATACAAAAAAACCTACACCTCAAACCCCCCAAAGTTGGATAGGACAACTTGATTCTAGAACCCCAACTATACCTCCTATACCGCGGGAGTGGGGTATTGCACAGAGCTGGCCTCCTAAAACCTGCAGACCAACAACGGCTATGTAAGGATTGTTTAAAGTGCTTCTAAGGAATTATGTGGGGATGTGACGGTTTTATATACAAATATGTGTATGTGTGTATATATATATGTAGAGAGAGAGAGAGGGGTCACCCAAGACCCGATTTAATTTCCCATCGCTTTGCTATCTTGGCTGTGATATAGGACATTGCAACAGACTGCCAGGTGTGCAGGGAGCAAACAGTCCATCAGCACGACACTGATGCACTACATGAAACGCAGCTTAGACGTGAATGCCAACCCTGAAGGCCAAGCCCTTGATCATAAAATTGCCATAATCTGCGCTGAGTTATCAGCATCCACGCGCCGAGCATGCAGCTCGGTTCGAGATTTTGTACAAGCTCACTTCCAGACCAAGGGCCGCACTGATGGGCAGACGGATAGACAAGACAAGCTGACAGGCTCCAGAGCATGAACTGGGCAGTCAGTACTTTACTTGGAGGATTCGGTAGAAAATAGCTATAGGATGTAAAGTGACTGAAGGTTCTGGGCGGATAAATGGGGGTCACAAGTGGAACAACTATGGTAACAGTC